AAGCAAGTGCTCCGCTGAGCTACAACCACAGTGCCTAATTCTGTCTTAATCAACTGTATGAAACCTAAAGGTTTTTCTTTTCTTGGATGAATATAAAAGAAACATAAGCTGTGAAGAGGATTAGGGAGTAGGTTAGAAGGAGGGTTGTGCAATCTGACGGAAGATAGTAATTGCCGGTATGATAAGTGGTGGAGGGATGTATCTGTGCAATAATTCTGAGGCTAGAAATCTTTAGGGTATGCAGCAGTCTGGAATGAAGATTAAGTGTTAATAGCACATTTGTTGGAAAAACAGTTAAATTTTAGTAGCTGAAGGTGTTGGCAAGGCAAGTAGCTGACAGGTGGTTGGATGGGTATAAAGGAAAAGCAAGAAGGGAATCAATGACTGCTACAAAGGTGGACTTGGAAATTGTGAACAACCAGTAAATCCTCTGAGCTCAGGTTAACTGCTATCTATTTCTCATACTGTAGTAGCAGGAGGAGAGTTGGAAGTAGCAGTCATTAGCATCTAAGACAGACACTCAAAATTCTTTTAAAATTGTTTTATTTTTCTGATTCTCAAATTATAAGAACATATTATATAAAAACTAGACAATAATAAAAAATATATAATGACAACTGAAATCAACTCTAGTATCACCAAGATGGAACAATGGTGACTATACTTTACAGCTTTTTAGATTCTCATTCAACAGCAATACTTCACTCCAAAGATATAAGTGCCTGTATTACATGCATTATGCAGTTCTTTTTTAAAGGAAATAAACTCTTAGGATGTATTCTTAGGTCATGTATTGTATATTAAATACCACTGAAAATATAATAATGGTAAATTATTTATAGACATGAAAAACATTCCCAGTGTCATTTTATTGCTGGAGGATATATCTTATTTAATTAACAATAGAATATAATTAATTATCAAAAGCAGATTCTTATTTTTAAACCAGCTGTAATTACAGAATACCTCTTTGGCTACCAATGGATACATTTTTCTATGTCACCAAACTACTGTGTTTTACATATTTTTAAGGTTAGAGATATAGAGATTTATTAAATGCAATACCTGTCAGAACGTGATGTACATGTAGATATCTTATATTTTATGTAGATATAATTAAACCTTAGGTAATTAAAAAATAAAGGAAAAAACCTACCAGTCTAATTCGTATTTGTTTAACTGCTAAGGTGGAAATATATTCCAGAAAAAGGAAATTCTTCGTAGAGAATATGTAAGGTAGTAGAAAGGTGGCATGTAGACCAGAGATACCTGGTCTCCTACTCTACTATTTAATACTTGTTTTTTTTTTTCCTAATCTTGTGGCAAGTTATTCCACCTCTCAGTTTTCTCCATTGGAACATAGGAATAATAATTATTATGTTGTAGGGGTATTTTAAGTGTGAATGAAATTGTTATAGTTAAAGCATTGTCCCAGGGTTTCATAAACTGACTTCCAGACCACTCACGTATAATCGAATCAAGCCTTTATTGAAGCACACCGGTGGCGGCTGACCAGAACATAAAGCTGTTCCCCTGATCAGCCCCGAACAATTGCAAGGGCACTCCTTATAAGCCTGAAAACCGCAAAAGGGATGTTCAGGGGGTCTAGCCAATGCAAGCAAGCCAGGTTACAGAAGCGGGACAGTGCAGTCAGGCGGAGGGAAGCCTAACCAATCACAGTTAGCCCAGTCACCCCAGTTACAGAAACAGAGCCCCGTTACCCTAGTTACAGAAACAATGCCCCATTAGGTAGTTCTGTGTTCTTAAAGGTTTCTATAGCAAAAGGAAAAGAACATCTTGCYCCAGTCATGACYCTTCTACTTGGCATGGTTGTTTACAGGATGAAGTCATAAAACAAAATGGAGTCACATTTGCTCCTACTACCACAAAATGGTGTATGCATAGTAGATTGTAAGAACAGAGTGTAATGCCTGGTTCACCATGCCCTTCCGAAGAAACCAATAGGTTGATATAGCTGTATTTAAGTTCTAAAGATATTTGAAATTCCTAAATGAGAGTAAATGTCTGGAAAGTTGTCATGGCATTGAAAAGTATAATCCAATGTACCTTAAGACTAAAACTCAAGGAAATTTGGTAAATAACTGTACTGAGGTACAGCACTACACACATGAATTGTAAGGATGGGTTTTGGTTTAGTGCTAGAAGGTTATTTTAGGATAGGCCCCAGAAGACCTGGTGGGTCATGTGCCCCATAAGACTTCAAGTGTTACTTTATAGCCATAATTTTCACCTTGAATTTATATTATAATTACCTGGGTGCTTTTAATATCACCAATGTCAGAGTCCCACCTTCAAAAATATTGCTTGAATTGGTCTAAAATAGAGCCCCAGGAACAGTGTTTTGTTATTGTTGCTATTTTTCAATGCCCAGGTAATTATTATATCCAACTGTCTTAAGATAAATATGAAGCCCTGGTTTGTGTGATTTCAGCCTTAGTTCATTCTATGAACAGAAAATGACCAAATATCTTCTTCTTCATATGCTTTTCATATGAAATATCAATACATTGATTTGTACTAAGCTCCTTCAGCATTCTAATTTAACATTTTTATTGATTCTTTTAAATTTGTGACAGCAGAATGCATTACAATTCATATTACACAAATACAACACAATTTTTCATATCTCTGGCAGTATATAAAGTATATTCACACCAATTTGTGTCTTCATACATATACTTTGGATAATAATGTCCATCACATTCCACCATCATTGCTAACCCCTGCCCCCTCCCTTCCACTCCCATGACTCTGCCCTATCTAGAATTCATCTATTCCTCCCATGCTCCACCTCCCTACCCCACTATGAATCAGTCTTCTTATATCAGAGAAAACATTCAGGACTTGTTTTTTGGGGATTGGCTAAATTCACTTAGCCTTATTTTCTCCAACGCCATCCATTTATCTTCAAATGCCATGATTTTATTCTCCTTTGTTGCTGAGTAATATTCCATTGTGTATACAAGTCACATTTTTTATCTATTCATCTATTGGACATCTAGTTTGGTTCCACAGTTTACCTATTATGAATTGAGCTGCTATAAACATTGATGTGGCTGTGTCCCTATAGTATGCTGTTTTTAAGTCCTTTGAGGATAGACCGAGGAGAGGGATAGCTGGATCAAATGGTGGTTCCATTTCTAATTTTCCAAGAAATCTTCATACTGCTTTCCATATTGGCTGCACCAATTTGCAGTCCCACCAGCCGTGTATGAGTGTGCCTTCTTCCCCACATCCTCACCAACAATTATTGTTGTTTGTATTCATAATAGCTGCCATTCTGACTGGTTTGAGATGAAATCTTAGAGTGGTTTTGATTTGCATTTCTCTAATTGCTAGAGATGATGAGCATTTTTTCATATATTTGTTGATTGATTATATATCCTCTTCTGAGAAGTGTATGTTCCAGGCCTTGGCTCATTTATTTATTATTTGTTTTTTTTTTTTTTTTTGTGCTTAGCTTGTTGAGTTCTTTATATACCCTAGAGATTGGTGCTCTCTCTGATATGTGAGAGGTAAAATTTTTCTCCCAAGATGTAGGCTCTCTATTACCTCTCAGATTATTTCTTTTGCTGAGAAGAAACATTTTTAGTTTGAATCCATCCCATTCATTGATTCCTGGTTTTAATTTTTGTGCTATAGGAGTCTTATTAAGGAAGTTGAGGCCTAAACCAACATGATGATTAGGGCCTACTTTTTCTTGTATTAGATGCAGAGTCTTTGGCTTAATTCCTAAGTCCTTGATCCACTTTGAATTGAGTTTTGTGCATGGTGAGAGATAGGGGTTTAATTTCATTTTGTTGCATATGGATTTCCAGTTTTCCCAGCACCATTTGTGGAAGAGCTATCTTTTCTCCAATGTATGTTTTTGGCTCCTTTATATAATATAAGATAACTGTAATTTTGTGGGTTAGTCTCTGTTTCCTCTATTCTGTACCATTGGTCTACCAGTCTGTTTTGGTGCCAATACCATGCTGTTTTGTTACTATTGCTCTGTAGTATAGTTGAAGGTCTGGTATAGTGATGCCACCTGCTTCACTCTGCTAAGGATTGCTTTAGCTATTCTGGGTCTCTTATTTTTTCAGATGCATTTCATGATTGCTTTTTCTATTTCTATGAGAAATACCATTGGGATTTTGATTGTAATTGCATTAAGTCTGTATAGTGCTTTAGGAATTATGGTCATTTTGATAATATTGATTCTGCCTATCCAAGAGCAACATAGATATTTCCATCTTCTAAGGTCTTCTTCAATTTCTTTCTTTAGGGTTCTGTAGTTTTAATTGTATAGATCTTTCACCTCTTTTGTTGATTCCCAAGTATTTAGTTTTTCTTGAAGCTATCCAATTTAACATATTAGAGGAAATAACAAAACAATAAACATGAAACGAATAACACTTATCACCTGGTTGAGATTAGTATATATTAGTTGGTTAATTGCTTGTTGACATCTGAGCCTACAGTACAAATTACATCTGTCATTTTGGATTCTTTATGATGTTAATGAATAGACAATTTTGAGTCAAGAGTAATATTGAAACTGATAAATTTTATGAGATATTTGGATCCAAAAATATTTTGAAATTAAATATATAGCTTGCAAGTAATTTATTGTAATGTTTAAATAATTTAATATCTTGGTAATATATATATATATATATATATATATATATATATAGATAGAGAGAGAGAGAGAGAGAGAGAGAGAGAGAGAGAGAGAGAAGTTAAATGGTATTACTCCAAATAGTTGTCTTTTCTTTTATTCAATTGATAAATATATACAATTTTACAGATAATACAGTCTTTAATTTTAAATGACCCTTCCTACTCAATGTCAATTATTATCTATTAATTGAAACTGAAATCTACAAATGGAAGAAACTATAAAAATATTTTTTTTGTCAATAAAAAATTATATACTATGTCAACATAATTTGTTTTATATAATCCATTTTTTGATCCATATTTTCTACTTCTAGGCAATTTGACAAATCTGTTGAAAAATGGCGGCATTTTCATTATGACATGAAGATATTTAACCAATGGCTAACGGAAGCTGAACAGTTTTTCAAAAAGACACAAATTCCTGAGAATTGGGAACATGCTAAATACAAATGGTATCTTAAGGTAAGTTTGGGGTATTTCTTTTTTGAATTGTCTATCTTCACCATAATGTCATAAGTCTTTATGTTCAGGTTGTGAATAATGACCAAAATTTATAATTCCTGACTTTTGTTATCGCCGTAAATACTATAAAAATCACCACAATAATCATGTTGAGAGAGTGTTGTGAACTTTTTGTGAAAGGATGAGGGAGTCATCTTAGACAGCTGGTTTATCTGATGAACTTCAAAGTGTAATTGCGTCTATGTTGCAGGGAATCGTCTTACAGCTGAGTATACATACTATGGCTTTAGGACAGTGTGTGTTTTTGCCTTATGTTGGAACCTGTCCAGGATGAGAACTTGTGGTATACTTAGCAATAATGTGGTTGCTAGAAATATCCATCATGATAAAATTATAGTTCTGTTTCCCTAAAGACAATTTGTGGTGATGCAGCAATATTTCTATATATTCTATTGACAAAATGCCTTCTGAGATAGACCAGAGGCCAAAACAATGCAGAGTTAATTGGTGGTACTTATTGACTTTTTTATGGTTTATGTTAATGGAAATGCAACATATGGATTATAACTAGTGTATAGTTTAATTTCAGTTTGTTGTGTGTTTTGAATATACATATAAGAATAAATTAGATTGTGGGGGATATAATTTACTTGATAAATTATATAGTTTAGGTGTAAGAAATATTGTGTTTATTATACCAAGGCTTAAGTATTTCTGTAGCATTTTTAGCTCAAGTTGTTCATGTTGCAATTTTCAATCATCCATACTTGAATTGTAGTCAATTTTTAATGCCAGAAAATACATATTAAGATAGATGAAGACAAAGAAAATGGTATTTCATTGAATAGTTTAGGCATTTAAAAATTCTGGATTCATAAAAGCAATATGATATTAAACTTTACCATTCTCCATTCTCAAATAGTTTTGTATAGCAAATATGCCTTCTGATATCAAGTATTTAAACATTCAAACATCTATGTATGGAAAGCTATGGAAACATGAAAAATGAATTTTTAAAAATATTGTAAAATTACATTTGAATATTATAGAATTTTATGCCTCTTATATTTATGTCCAATCTATGATCAGTTCCACCTATTGGGTATTTTAAACATCAGATATTATATTTTTCATGTCTTAGAATTGTGATTTAGGTATGTTTATATCTATCTTCCATGTGTCTATTCAACATGCTTAGTCTTTCCTCTACCTTCTTGAGAATATGGAATACAGATGTTAATGATTATAATGTTATTGTCTAATAATTTTATTATCTGTGTCTACTTTGGGTTAATTTAGTTGATCTATTTTCTCCTCATTATGAGTATGTTTTAGTGCTTCTTTGGATAACAGGTAATTTTTGATTATATGCAATACAGTGCATTTTAACCTTTTGAGTGCTTGTTATTTTGGTATTCGAATAAAAAAATTAACCTTTATTCTAGGATAGTGAATTTAATTGAAAACAACTTGATATTTTTTAGATATTTATTTTATACTTCATTAATTGTGACTAAATGGATCTAATGTTGTCCCACCACTGAGGCAAAGCCCTTCTGAGTGTTCTGATGCCCTATGAATAATGAGGTTTTCCACTGTGATTGGTAGCAACAGATACTATTACCAACCAAATGTGATTTTTGGTGATTGTTTCCTTTAGTCTTTTTATATAGTTCTTTCTCTAACTTTGGGTAGTTTTCTCACATATATTAGCTGATTATAACTCATCTGAAGACAGGAAGTGAGCCCTCTGCAGCATCCAGAGTTCTCCCTCTATGTGTCTACCTCCTTTCTATACACCCTTGAATTCCCTTGTACTCTAAGCTTTATTTCCTGGACTCGGAGAATAGGAGGCTTTGTAAGCATTCTCTCCTCCTTTGTGTTAATCTGGGAATCTCTCTAGGCAGATGCTGGGGCAATTGTAAGGCTCACTTCATTTGCTTCCAATTTCTCAGGGATCAATGTCCTTCAGTGTCTTCAAAACCACTGTTTCATACATTTTTGTGTATTTTTCAAAAAGCAATTTAAATCTGGTCTCTTTTAACTTCAAATTGGCAAGAAGCATGAATCCAAACCATTTTATTTTGATGTCATTTGATCTTATAATACATTACTACTATACAATCTTGAAACTTTATAGTAATTTTGCATTTTGGAGAATATTGAAAAGTCCTCATTTCTTGACAGTATAGTTTAGTTGCAATTTATAAACATGTATCAAAACATTACTTAATTGGATAAATTACTTAATTGGACTCTTTTATTTAGCCTATTTCTTTGTCAGCCTAGATGAAGTAATCAAGAGTATTCTAGATACTTAGGGGAAATTTCTTCTAGCTACAGGGCCATGGATAATATGACAAATCCTCCAATAAAGTAAGTTAGTAAAGTAAGTAAGTAAAAAAATCATGCACATGTGCACACATACATGCACACACACACACACACACACACACACGCAAATGCCTGAGGTTATGTTTCAATTCTGAGTAAATTTCCAATAAAAGGTCCAGAGAGACACTGTAAGATACATCTATTGATAAGGTTAATGGAAGGTTTGGAATTTTCAGTTGTCTTGGCTAACATCATTATTGATAAATAATGAATAGAAGAGAGAGTTTACATATTTGCTATGACATTATTTTCAAAACAGATTATATATGATGTATATGGTGCAACAAATCTGTCTGTTAGCATCTTACATATTTGTTGGCATCAAGTAGTAATGGTTATTTTGAGGAAAAGTAATCAAGTAGTCCATATCCTAAGCAATCGTATACAGAGGTATATTGGTCTTTGAAAACTTATATATACAATTTTCAGGAAAGAAAAAATTTCTAGATATGAAATGAAATAAAATATATGTATATGTTTTAAGCTTGTCCACATGTATTTCTACTGAATTGCATTCGATTTATTATTTTCAATTTTAAATAGAGAAATCAGTATTTTTGAAAACCAAAACCCAGGGGGCTGGGGGTATGACTCAGTGGTAGAGCTCTTGCCTAGCACATGTAGGTGCTAGGTTTGATCTTCAGCACCATATTAAAAAATAAATTAAATAAAGGTATTATGTCTACCTACACCTAAAAAAAAAATTAAAACAATCAAAACCCAGAAGGATCAAAAGTTAGAGGTTAGCCTCAGAAACTTACACCCTCAACAACTTAGCAAGACCCTGTCTCAAAATAAAAATAAATAAAAAAGAGTTGTAGCTCAGTGGTGAAGCATCCTTGGGTTCATTTCTCAGTACCAAGAAAATAAAGAGAAATCAGTGCCTTAACTGATACTTGGTATTGTCATTCAAAATAAAGTGACTGTCAAAACCAGAAAGGTGGTCTGCTTCCATGTAACTCAATTATTTCTTCTCTGTCACAAGTGAATGATAAAATTACATATATAAATTAATATTTTCTCAAGCTATTCCAAAGCAATATGCCATATTACTGTAGAGAATCTCTTAAATCACCACATTTTTTTTGTAACTGAGGTAATATCAATCATGTGATATGCCATTAAAATTGGTTTATGAAAAAATACTCAGTTATTTCTTCATATTTTAATGTGTTTATTCAACAAGTAGTAATTCAGTGAATATGTTAAGTTTTATCTCCCACAATAATCATGCTATGCCACATTAAGCTGTATTGCAAATCTGAAGAGTGTAAAGAGATTGGATATTAGATTCAGAAAGCTTGGGTTCAAATCTTAGCTCTTTTAGCTTAATATCTGAAGAATCTTGTGAAAATGTGCTAATTCTCCCCCATGTTTATGTTTTCTCTTTAAAATGGAAATAACAATGATATATGAATAAGCCATTGAATAATGGCATTTTTCACAAAATTATTACTCATTAAATGTAGAACCTTGGGCTGGGACTGGGGCTCAGAGGTAGAGTGCTTGCCTAGCATGCGTGAGGCACTGGGTTCAATCCTCAGCATCACATAAAGTAAAATAAAGACGTTGTGTCCACCTCTAACTCTAGAAATTTTTTTTAAAAATGTAGAATCTTATTATATTTAATCACTGTTCATAAGTAATCAGCCCATGTTTACAAAACTAACTTTTTACTGAATTATTTTTCTCAAACATCTGAAATATAGAGGGACTTACCTGGAAACTTCATTAATCTTTATTTTCATATACTATGATGTCTTCTCAAAATATAGCTTTTGGACTAGGAATTGAGGAAAATACCAATTCAGCCAGACATATCTGCCTCAGATAGCTGACATTTCTGCCTACTCATTTTCTAACTAACGAGAAGAAATGTTAATGAGGGCTTTCAGAAAGAAAGCTGAATTCCATGAAGGAAACTTATGAAAATAATGTTAACTCATATAGTGACAAAGTGAATTGTTATGCCATCAAATACCTTGAGTGAAAACAGGGAAGCAGAAATCATAAAATGCCCAAGCATTTAGGTCTAGCATGTTTTTTGTAGACTAGAAAGAAATAAGTTTTAAAATGTGAGCTGTTATTGAATGGGATTGAAAATTCTTAAAGTTGATAATAGAAACAATAAAAATCACCATTAGATTAAGTACTTAAAAGAGCTCAATATTCTTCATATGAATGGAAATATAGCCTATTTGCTTTGTGGCATAATGCTGCTTCATGAACCATTTAAAAATTAACAGCACTTTCTAAAGAATTTTTCTGTGAACAAGCATGAGGCCTTGAGTCTTAAGGAATTCCATTTGAAATCTACCTTAGGATGTAAATTGTAATGAGATTGTTTAGATGGAATTTTTAAGCCTTAAATTAATAAATGTTAAGCAAACATAGGGAGTGAAACAATAAAGTGTTATTTTGATATGAATTAACTGCTGTTTTTTAGGCAAAATATAGTCATGTTAGTGTTAAAAAGTTTTCTGGTGTATCCTGCAATGTTACTGTGTTTCACTGCTCCATAGTTTAGATTATATGGTATATTTGAAATATATCTATATGTGTTGCTGTAAATTAGCACAATAAAAAACTGTTCACTTTGTGGAATA